GTCCCTTCCCAAGCCTACAGAGTGAAGGGAAATTGGCAATATCTCTGAATGGATTTTGAAGTGGAACTGGTATTAACATTACTGGTAAGTATTTCAAATTAATTGGAAATCTGTCTTCCTGAAATTTAAAGCTAACATTTCATACACATTGGGGTGATATGGGATATTTCAATGTTCTCTTGGTTATCTTCTGTACAATAGAAGAATCAGTTGGATCTAAGTGGTGAAGCTAAGCTAAAAACTAAATTATGCCTTCAGCATGAAAGCCAGCTGGATAAACTAGGGCCTGTCACTCTCCTTCAGCCCAACTCACCTCATAATGTACTTGTTATGAGGAAAGTAGGAGGAAAAAGAGATATTACATGTGTTTGTTAAGATATTTAAAAAAATAATGAAGTCAGAATATCAAAATAAATAGAAATAAATAAATAATCTTTCTGGCATTTGGAAAAAACCCATTCTCATCTATTGTTAAGTTCTTGCATGTTATGTTTTCATGACATATGGTGCTATTATAAGATTTCAATATTTATTTAAATAGTAATTTGATTTGATAGGACATACTCTATGAAGAACATTGAAGTATTTGTCATTCAGAGTGAATTCTTAAACCTGTAAAATTCTTCAATGTTGCCTCAGATAGATTTATCTCCCTATAACAAGCCCTCAGTCCTTAAAAACCACTGAAACCATTAATCAAGGAATAGAATGTTCAAATTAGTTCCAATACAAAATTGCTTAAAAAGTGTAACTAAAATAATTCAATATAAAATACTATGCACAAAGAGTAGTTACATAAGCTAATTACAACTCTCAGCTTTAATAGCCCATGTAGTTTTGCCCCATTAACAAACTATTTAGTGATATAACGGTTTAGATTTTTAAATATTAAATTTCACTGGTAACTATGTATTAAACAACAATTATTTAGGCATACACTTATTGAAAAAGAACAAGAAAAATGTGGGCACAAGGATATTAGAAAGCAATTGTTGATAGTGTATTAATATTTGATCGTCAGATATTAAGGGTGCCTCTTGACAAACCAACTCTGGGGCATAAGAAATACTCCTTTTATGTATTTGTTGTGAAAAATAAAATAAAATGCAGGTAAGTAATTTCCAATTATAGTCAAGAAATTTGTATAGAAAGTAAAACAATATTTCTCAGAAGTTTTTTTTTAATAAAAAGTAAAAGAATTTTGGATTTGAATTAAATAAAACATATTAGAATTCTTTATAACATTCCTTTTATTTCAGCAAGTTATAAAAAAATTGACGATAACAATAGTTCTTTCATAGTAGTACACTGTCCTAAAATTGTTCTATACTAATCAAAGTCTTTCTAGATTGCATTCTAAGGGTAACAATCAAATTGGTACATACCAATTCAGTGGCAGTAGCCATTTATTCATTTTGGATAAAGATTTTTTTGGGAAAACTGAAAAAAGAGTACATCATGGTCATTAATATTTCTAGCATCCATTCTTATCGAAGCATATAAAATGGCACAATACAAAGCATTAATGCAATTACTTTAACAAAAAAGTGAGAAAATTTATCTCCTTGAATAAATGGAAATCAAAAGTGTAACAAAATATATACAACCACAAAGTTTGAAAAATGTTTAATTAAAACATATTTTATTAATATATAGTAGCAAAATAATTTGTAATGTTTTATTCATTCAATTTGTAAATATGTCTAATTGTTATGTGACAACCACTCCGACTAAAATATCTGCGTGGAGGGAAATACCCCATATGAATATTTAAATTTATGTCTCTCTTCTTTACATTGAAAATTATTTTTGCATACTTCCAAATAATGCATTTGTTGTTCTTTGGAATTTTTTTCTCAATGTTTTGATGACCACTTTAATTTTTTTTTAAAAAACTGAGGTAAAAAGGTATCTTGATCAATAGCTCATTGATAGTCAAAACTTGCCAACTTTTAAAAGTCCTGACCAATTAATGCCAAAGTGCCAAAACAATTTGTACTTTTCACAGTGATTATTTTTAACAGTTCAGATTCTTGAGAGTTTAGAAAGGAAAATCTGAACAACTATGCCTAGTTATCTTTCCTGTACATCAGTGATTGGAGATCTCATGTGATGAGTTTGTGACGAGTCAGGCAAAATCATATTATCACGCAGGGTAGTCTGTTACATGTAGAAGAGCTGTGGTGGTGCAGCGGTTAGAATGTAGTACTGCAGGCTACTTCTGCTGACTGCCATCTGCTTGCAAATTGGCAGTTCGAATCTCACCAGGCTCAAGGTTGACTCAGCCTTCCAAGGTGGGTAAAATGAGGACCCAGATTATTGGAGGAAATATGCTGAATCTGTAAACCACTTAGAGAAGGCTGTAAAGCACTATGAAGCGATATATAAGTCTAAATGCTATTGCTATGTGGGATTCCAATCAGTTGGCTCTTGGTGACTACCTGGACAAATTTCTGCAGTTTTCTTGATAAGAGTTTAGAATTTGTTTGCCATTTCCCTCTTCATCTTAGGACAGAGAGAAAGGGACTGGCCCAAGGTTACCCAACTGACTTTATGCCTTTATTTAAGGTCTCTTGGATTCTAGCCTTGTGTCTTAACTACTTCACTGAACACTCTGCAATCTGTTAATAGTAGCTAACAAATCCCCTTCAGCCCTTTTATTAACTAAAAACAGAGTTGTGCAAAAGTTCAGCCAGCCTTTCCATCATGAAAGCCAACATGGAGAGATAAGAGAAAGGGAGTCAAGCACCATATTATAATCCCATCAGCCAATGAAGTAAATATCAATCGTTAAAGCTTTTTATTGCAAAACATTTGACACAAGGCAAAGTCAAACTTCATGTGCTTAATGGTGCCAGACTAGTAAAAAATGATCTATGAAACTAAGAAGAAATTCTTATGGAGGGGAAGCTGAATGTCCCAAGAGGGCAGGGCTAGTCACTTGAAGATTCCTGCATATCTATTCCAATGATGGTTGGTTCTAATAAAAAAAAATCAATTCCTGGATGCTTTTTTCTAATAGAAACTTGGCTGGGGAGGAAGGCCAATATTTTATTTTGAGGGAATCTCCTTTCATCGCTTTGGCACATTTTTCTTCCATTCACCCTCCTTAGAAAAGCTCTCCAAGCCACTAAGATTTCTGTCCACTTCCTTTTTTTAGGCTTCAATCCAATTATGAATTTTAAAAAAGGCTTTTAAAGTGTATTAGAACATTCCCCTTACAAGTCACAGTAATGGTAAATCTCAATTATTGCAGAAATTGACTGTAGGATAATGATTAAAAGTTCTTTGAAGTTTACCAATTTGTACTTTCTCCAAGAATATGTCTGTTAACTGGGATCATCCATAAAAAAATAAAAAGTGGTTTAAAAAGTGGTATTATGCTTTAATACACCAATCATGGGCTCCATCATAAGATAGCCTGAAGTCCCAAGACCCTACAGAATTCAGTTATTACTGCTTTGCAGAAAATCAAAGCCTGTATCAATCTAGTCTCTGAGGGATGCTATTCCATAATTCTTTGGTTGGCCCATATTAATTCAACCCACCCATTTGGAGATAAATTACCACCCCAACTTCAATGATTGCACTGGTGTACCTGGAGAAGGTGATTCTAAAGGTAGAGTCAAGCCATATAAGACTTTTAAAAACAGAACCAAAAATATAGGATTTTAACCATAAATCTATTCGTGGCACGACATAACCGCGATGTCAAAAGCGCGCCGACAGAAGCGTGATTTAACTTAAGGTAAGGTTTAGGGTTAGGTTTAGCATTAGGTTTAGGGTTATTTTTAGGGTTATGTTACAGCGCGCTTCTGTCGGCGCGCAGTTGTCGTGCGGTTTTGACGGTGCGGTTTTGTCACCGCGCTTTAGTCACACGCGCTTTAGTCTACCGCGGTTTTGTGGTGGAACCAAATCTATTGGCAACTGCTGCAACATCCAATACATTGGTGTAACAAGGCTAATGCAATCCTTACATGCCAGCATGTGGACAGCTGCATTTTGCATCTATTGTCGTTACTAAATAGTTCACAAAAGCAGCCCCATATGGGGTCCATTGCAGTAGTCTACCCTGGCACCAGATCCTTTTGTTCCAGATGTGGCCAACATACTGGTCCCTTGGCCACAGCCTGTGCCTTGTTAGCAATCTGGAATGTCCTCTAGATAAATATGAGACTCAAGTGAATGGTGATTTTAATAACAGCAAATTTTTGTATTCCATTTTAATATTTGAAAAATATTACAATGTAATAATATCATATGTACATTTGAAATCCAAAGACCAAGAAATGAATTTATTTTGAAACGATGTTTATAAAAATAATGTGTGCAAAAGCATAATTCTTGCCTATGCATTGTGGTCAAATCCAAATGGTCTGGTATCCACATAGCTCTATTTGCATGTCTTCAATATTTTTATGACTATCTTGAAACTAGGCCTTGCTTCCTGCAGACATAAAAGACTTTTGATTCTTGCAAAATTAAAGATTTTGATTCTTGCAAAGTTAAAGATTTTGAACCAGAGGAGGAATCCAACTACCAGGAGGTCCTAAAGATTTTCAAAAATCTGTTCTGAAGACTCTTCAGAAGAGTGGAAGTGGTGATAAGGTAGCCTGCAGGGATGCCTTATCCCCTACTCTGAAGAAAACTCCAGGAGATCCCATCATTGTAGAAATAAATTCTGGGTCCTATGTAATAATATGAACTAATCCAAAAAATAATAGTAATTGTACAAGGCATGTCGCTTCTAGATGTATATCTGCATTGTATTTCTATGGCAATACATTCTTAAATTTACAGAACATTCAGAGATTGGGCAGAGGACTGCTACTCTACTAATGTCCCAAAGGTGCCTTTTCAAGAGGCAACTGGACATTCTGGAAGTGAAGCTTCTTGGATGAGAAGTGAAATGTCTTCAAAGAAAAACCAGAAAGTCCAGTTGCCTCTTGAAAAAGTTACCTTTGGGACAACCATGAGCTGGATGACTGAGAATCTCCATACTCTACTAATGGTTTCGCACACAAGGTGAAATAATTTCTTAGGACAGCATGAGCTGATTGCAAAGCACAGTCAGTTGTTTCATATGTCCAGAAAAAAAAAACAGCTATATGTCCAGGAAAACAAAAGTTATTGGAAGTAGAACCAAATTAATTTAATATTTTATCCAGGTTTTTCTGCTTCAAAAAGAAACATCTGGTAATTGAAATGAGCTTCTCAAGCTGATTGTGGGGCAATGTTCACTGTAGACTGTATGTTTGTTTCACATTTTTAATTGAAAGTGTTACAATGAGGGCACGGAGATCTTTTCGGTTTCTGTGTATTGTTATCCTTCCTTTCAGTTCTTCACCTATAGAAACAAAATATAAATACAAAGATTTTAAGTTGTATAACCAAGTGTCTCTCTGCCAAGCAAACAGATATAATTTGCTGATTTAAATCCCCCCTCCTTACAGCATCTTGCCCCAAAATCTACAGTGGAAAGATAGCACAGGTTGAAAGGAATGCAAATCTTTATTGTTAAGAAACATTACTAGTTTTTCCTCTAGTATTAGTAAATACATGTATTTATTTCTGCTACAAATTATACATTGTTCAATTCCCCAAAGTCTTTTAAAGACTTACAAATAAGTTAAAAATAAAATAAAAATAATGGCTATCTAACACTAAGAACAATAAATCTTGTCCATTACCACAATATTCATTTTATGTTACATGGTAAGGTTCTGATTATTATTGGTAAGATTTCTAATGATGTTAATCTTATAGTAATAACATCCTGCTTTCCTTCATATCTCTAGATTTCAGCTTAACCTGAATGACTCAATTATTTGAGGTGAATGTATTGATTTGTATTTGCATGGCTGTCCTCGGCTATGGAAATTCTAACATCATGGTTGTCCCAAACGTTCTTTCCAAAAGGCAACTGGACTTTCTTGGTTTTTTTTCCTTAAAAACATTTTTCTTCTGTCAGAACTGAAGAAGCTTCTTGGATGAGAAACGAAATGTTTTCAAGGAAAAAAACCAAGAAAGCCCAGGAAAAGAACCTTTGGGACATGGCCACTCTTGTCAAAGTGATAATAAGCAATCAAAAGAATCAAAAGAGCAATATAAATAGCCACAAAACACAATACATTTTTGCTATTAAGAAACATTCTCAAAACAAAAAAGCTTCAATTGTTATGGCAAGTAATCTTTATAACTAAACAGATTAGTTTTCTGATATGTATAACAAAACCTGATGACACTTACTTCAAAATATCCACAGCTAAAACCTTTTTTTTGACTTACAACTTACATTTAGTGATAGTTCAAAGTTATAACGGCACTGAAAAAGGTGAGTTACGATCATTTTTCACACCTACATGCTACTTGACCTTTGTAATATTTGCATGATCACGGGGTCAAAATTCAGATACTTGATAATTGACTCATACTTATGACCGTTACTGTCCTAAGATTATGTGATTACCTTTGCCAACTTTTGACAAGCAAAATCAGTGAAGAAGCCAGATTCATTTAATCACCATGTTATTAACTTATCAATGGCAGTGATGTACATAAGAATTGTGGCAAGAAAAGTTGTAAAATGGGGCAAAACTCACTTAACAAATGTTTCACACAACAGAAATTTGGACTCCATCGTGGTCATAAGTCGAGGACTACATGCATTAGCTGAAAAATGCTACTTTTCTAAAATGTTTATTAATGTAAAACTGTACTTCTATTATTTATTTTATCAGCACAGTGTCTCACTTTAATTATGCATAAAGGGATTATACCTGCTTTTTAAAGCAAATGGATCTGTGAAATCCGATGAATTTGTGAAATCTAGAAAGTAACATTTCTATAAGAACTGACGACAGTTTTCAATCAGGGCAGCCCTCCATTATTTATTACCAAGTTAACTGCATTAAGTGATCCAGACAACCAGCTTTATTCATTGTCACAAGGCAGATCTTTGCCTTTCTCGCCCCAATTGGCTACATTAAATCTCCTTTTGTGCGCCACTGTTTCTGTTCCCGAACTAAAGCAATGGCAGGACAATCAGGACAGGGAAGAAGATCAGGCCAATTAATCAACGCCATGGGGAAATAAAATGACTGATGTGCTCTCAACAGCTTTGCTGCTCTACACAGTAGAGAGGATGCCTTCCAAGGCTGAGCTGCATCACCTCTGCTCAGGAAGAAGCAGGCGAGATACAAGTCACGCTTTAGTTTGATCCAGCCTGAATTCATTACCCTGCTCCTATGGAACTGACACTCTTCCGGCAGAGAAAATCAAGTCTGATTTGCCTTTAACAGATCTTCCAGAGAAGCATGCAATTATAATTACTATGTGTTTTTTAATCCCTTGGAGGCCTGGCTCTACGGCTGAGCACATTATAGCAATTGTCAGAGTTGGATTTTACTTCAATAGAAATGTTACAAACAGATATACTGCAAGATCTTTACGGCAGCTAAGGGCTAAAAGTAATTATATTGCTCAACTGCAAGATGGGAAATTGTTCATAAACTAATGAGATTAGTAGCAGTAAGCCTCCAGAAACAGCAAGTATAAATACACCGTGTCTAGGACCACACAACATGTAAACTGGCTCATCACGACTAAGCCATATGCTTAAGTTACCTGCTTTGCATGTTCTGTGTTTCAGATTCAGTTTGGGAAAGTGGTCTTAAATGTGCCCCTTGTTTCTATGATTTTAAATTTTAAATTAAAAGTGGCTGTTTTTGAGTGCATATATTGAAATTAATTTTAAAAAATCTAATATTACCAATAGACTAGAAACAAGGCTATCTCATATATGATTTTCGTATTTTCTGGCAAAATAAATCTTACTATCCACACACATATTTACATCATTGAGTGCACACTTTTATTGATATAACTGAACTGAATTAAACTATCAAGGATGAAGTAGCCTTCAGTAAAATGCCCCCTTTAAAATATTTTGATTGCTCACAGTTGCTCTTCACTATCTTAAAGTTGGTGTAGAAAACCACACGGCAAGGCACCATAAAAACATAAAAGATGCACTTGTGCTTATTTTATTGCTAATAGAATTTGCTGGTATAAGGATTTTATTTTTCAGCTTAATTCAGTAAGTCAATAAAAAAAATAAAGCTTTTTGGGAAAACAAAATCAAGATACCGTATTTTTCGGAGTATAAGACATACCTTTTTTCCTCAAAAAAGAGACTGAAAATCTGGGTGTGTCTTATACATCGAATACATCATTTTTTTATTTTTGAATAAACACACATACAACACAAAGAATTCTCTTTCTTTACATACTATAGAAAGTGTGTCAATTGGTTACAAAAAGCTTTCGTGCATCTCTTCCACAGTCATCACCTATAATACATATCAAATCATATATTTTAAATCAAATATATTTATAGATATTACTATCATCATACCTCAATATTCATTTGACCACAATTACAATACAATAGCAGAGTTGGAAGGGACCTTGGAGGTCTTCTAGTCCAACCCTCTGCCTAGGCAGGAAATCCTATACCTGCCAACTATACCAAATATTTTAACGTTCTTTTGTATAAAATATTCCAACGTTTGAAGCATAACCACATAATGGCATTTTGTTAGCTATTTCCAATATC